CAGAACTGGAGAAAGCTCATTCTCCAAACGAGTTGTCTGATTTGTGTAGGGGATTTATGAAGTCTCTGAACCAAGAGTCTCTGTCATTATGTTATCTGTTCTATGTGAGTATCTGTGTGTATGTGTGTAATTTGAAACTGTTTGCAGCTAGCTACCTTTCTCCCCTTTCCCCCCTCCCTAATACCAGCCACCTCCGGGGGGCGGGTGGATGGGGGAAAAAGGACAGAAAAAATATTTTATTATTTAGGTTATATGATTGGTAAAAGGCAAGGAAGTGTGAGCATGTAGGAAAGAGGAGTATGTGGAGCAAGCTTACGGAAGGCATAATTTATTTGCACAGTGTGATTAGAGGTTTTGAAAGTAAAAGGGTTTTGAAACTTTTTGAAATTGTTAGGAAAAAATTCTCTTTCTTTTTTTCATTCTAAAGCTCTGGCCAAAGCTTTGGGTGTAAAATTGAAAGATTATCAAAGATAAGTTGTTGGAAAATATTCTCTTCCTTTCGCATTCCAACCTTGGTCAAGTTGGGGTGTGAGAGACAGAATGAGAATAGTGAAAAGGAGGGTGCACCCCCTCAGGTCATAAAGAAAAGTTTTTTATGTATTTAGAATGTAATCAAAAGATAATTTAGCTCATTCAAGTTAGTAATTTGTTTGTTTCAAGTTTTAAAAATCTACTATTGTTACAAATTGGTAAACTTTTGTATTGTTTTGTGTCATGTCAAACAATTTTTAATAATTTAGATGTTATTAAAATGTGAATTAAAAAAGACTGAAAAACAGTGGGAAAGCTGTGTAAAAGCCAGCTAAATTATTTTGTCAAGTCCGGTTAATCTTGCTTTGTCATGTTTTATAACAGTCAATTAGAAAATCAGGTATTTCCATCTAATTTAATTAAAGAACAGCTCATAGTTAAAACAATTTGACTATCACTTATGAAAATTACCAGATTCTTAATGAAATTATTTGAAGTTACTGTTTTAATGTTAACACCTAGAATTTTTAATTACTTATGAGTGGAAAGGAGGGGCACAAGGCAATTCCCTCTACTTTGTAAATTTGCCAGGGCAGCTGGAAACTATCTGTTGTGGGCAAGGTCATCTGCCTTGAAAAAAAAAAACTTGTTAGGATTACGCAGTTCCTAAACAATTAATTCAGCTTGCTGAGAAGCTGCAACTTTATGAAATGATTTCTAATAATTGGTGTTTTTTTTTTACCAGAACAAGTTTAAATTTGAAAAAGAAAGATGTTAAGTGAAATCTCTTATATACGTGGGTCCTACTAAATCTTTGTTACTTATTATAAGTCCATGGGAGTAAAATTAACTGTATCTGGCTTTAAGCCATGATTAGTGAAACTTACTGCTTAAGGTGAAAGACTCTTAGGACTATAATTGTGTTTTGAGTTTTAATTTGGGTATAGTCATCTCTATTAAATTAGTATTTGGAGTTTTCCTATTATGTTCCTTTAAGAAGGAATATTTTCCACCATGTGGAAAAATTTTGTTCATAATACTATCAAACTTGTTAGGCAGAAATATTCCCAAACAAAAATAATTTGTTATATGGAAGATAAATTTAGCAAACTCTCTTTATTAATGTGTGAGCTTTAACAAGCTCTTCAGTCTCAAAGATTTATAATTACTCCTGATAAGGCACAAAAGAAATCACCCTTTGCTTACTTTAGATATATGGTTTCACAGTCTATGATTAGACCCCCAAAATACTACAAAATAGGCAAGATTCTTTAAAAACTCTTAAAGATATTAATTAGCTTTAGCCTGCCTAGTAGATCACCACTAATCAATTATTTTAAGATGAATTTAAACTAAGTACAATAACAGATAGCTGAAACTCAATTTATTCCTTTTAATTTGCGGGGGGTACGATATTTTACATCTTCGGGGAGCTGTTATTTAGTTTGTGTGGAACAGTGGCTTTGGACAAAAAGGAAGCTTTTTACAGTAAAACATTTAGTTGAACAACAACTTTTAAAAAGACATATAGAACTCTTTACAAATCCTTGGAATTAACCTGTTTTTGTTTTTAAAATGAAGTCAGTGAAATGGAGGATGCTTCATGACCTCCAAGCTATTAATGAAATCTCCCTTCACCCACTATGAATTCTGTTTCTTAGCCTTTGATAGTTATTGATTTAAAAGACTGCTTTTTCACTATTCCATTGCAAGAAGCTGACAAATGTTGTCTTGTTTTTACAACAACCAGTGTTAATGCAGAACACCCTGCAACCAGGTTTCAATACAAAGTCCTTCCTCAAGGCATGAAAAACAGCCCTACAATGTGTCAAAATTTTGTTAATAAAGCTATACAACCAATTAGGAAAAAATTTCTCAATGCAAAAATAATACACTATATGGTGACATACTTTGTAGCTGTTCCACTGAAAACTCACACATTTATTTCCTCAGCCTCAATTAGCTTTACAAGAATATGGGCTTATTATAGCCCAAGAAAAAGTTTAAGAAAAATCTCCATTTTCTTACCTAGGTCATATTGTCACTGAAACAACAGTGAAGCACTTAATGATTTTCAAAACTTTTAGAGGATACTGATTAGTTTTGACCACCATTCCAAGTTACTACAGAACAACTGGCTAATTTCTTTTTTACATTTAGAGGAGATCCTAATCTAAAGTCCCCCAGGACATTAACTCCTGAAGCAAAACAGGAGCTTTAATTTAGTCAAACAGAAAAATTCTTGAAGCTCAACTCACCCATATTTCTTTAAATGAAGGGGTACCAGGTGCTATTCTTAGTACTCCAGTGTCCCCTACAATTTTTAACTTACAGGAAATTAACTTTCTGTTATTAATCAACCTTATAATAAAAGGCAAACAGACACTCTTGTTTCCTCTTAGAGGATTGGCAAACTGCTATTGCGGTTTTTTCTGGTTGTATTGATATTGATAATTACCATTTCTTAAGATATTAACCTTTTTTACTAATTATTCATAGGTATTTCAAAAGATCGTTAGATTTAACCCCATTCCTTCAGCACCCACTACATTCACCGATGGGTTAAGTACAGGTATAGCAGGATATTATGAGCCTATTAATGTTGTTTCTGATAGCGAGTAATCTGTTCATGTCTCTCAAAACATAAAGATTGCAAAGTTAACATATATTACTAATACACAATTATATACTGAAAGCAGTGTCATTATTGATTCTTAACTACAATGCTGCCACTTAACTTTTTGTTAAGCTTTTATTGAGCCTTTTATTAACTATATTCTGCCAATACAACAACCTCAGCAGTAGAAAGCATAACATTTTGTGACTATTTCTGAATAAACTCCTACAGTATTAGAAACATAGTATAAAGAACAGTGATTTTTTTTAAATTAACAGCCTGTTTCAAATGTATCGAGAGGCTTTTCTCCGAAACATATTTGACAATTGGATATAACTTATATGCCTTCTTTTGAAAAGCTTTTTATATTTATGTTAGAGTTGATGTTTTTTTCTTCTTTCATTTTTGCCCCTTTACAAACAAGTGGAGCAATTAAACATGTGATCAATCATATTTTACAAGCCTTCACAGTTATGAGTGTACTTAAATGAATTAAAACAGATAATGCTCTGGAGGAGCTTGCATTAGCAAAACATCTTCTATCTTTTATGCTTTTTATAACATTTCTCTGATCACAAACATTTTATATAATTAAAGCAAAGATATTAAAATTATTCTTTTTAAACAAAAACGGGGAAATCTGGGCTATTACCCCTCATTGATAACTGGTTATTAAGTTTTGACAATTGGCTATTACTTTTTATAATTCGCTACTAATTGTCTAAATATTAACAAAGATGAGTACCCTCCAGCCTAAAAACATCCAGAGGCCCGGATTCATTACTAACAAGGGGACAAGGGTGTGCTTACATTTTTTCAGAAAACTTTGATAAACCTGCCCAGATACTGGAGAAAGATGTCAGAGCGTGTATAACAACTCACAGCTCGAATGCAGAGTATGAAAATTCGGGGAAAGCACAGAAGGAGCCAATCTACAGTGACGAGTTGCCTTCCCACATGGGGTCCAGTGAAAGCTCCCTGTCATCGAGTGATGGAAGACTCCTGAACTTGTATCTTTAGTAACAGTAGCTTTACTTTCTGCTCAAGTGTGTAATGTACAGAGTGCTCAGCAGTGGACTTATTTTTCCTTTTCCACCCTGGATGCAACCCCTCACATATATGGACAAATTGGGACCATACATATACTAATAACACCTGTATATTTGGAAGACAAGAAGATCCCTATCTCCAGGATAAAGTCAATGTTACAATTACCCTCAGATCTCTAGCATCCAGGACACCTATATGTTTTTCAAAACTTAGCAACAATATTGAATCCTGTCTTTTTCTTGTTACATCAGTTTCAATACCAGTTTGTCTAATGGATATGGAACTTTTACTCAATATAATACTACTTTTGAATAGAATGTTACTTGTGTCAACTATACTCTCAACAATGTATTGATAACAATGACTACATTGTACTTTTGGTAGAACAATCATCATTTGCTATTTTCCCTACCAGCGTTTCACATGGATAGTTCCAGAATTCTGGTGAACATGTTCTTTGAAATATTACCTCCTCCTTAAGTCAATCAAAACAAATTATTGCTCTCCTTATTATTGGTTTAATCATTGTTGCTTCTTTTATCGTATCTACTACTGTTTCACCTATTGTGCTACAATCTGAAATCTAAACTGCGTAATTTGTACATGACTTAGCAAAACAATATATGTTTAGTACTTAATGCACAAGAAGCTATTGATACATTGTATAAAGTCAATTTATTAGATCAATCAGTATTGTATTTAGCAGATAAGTCAGAACCCTTGAAAACAAGGTTGCTATTGCAATGTGACTATAGATATTCATATATTTACATTACCCTGCTACCCTATGATGCTTCAGATCCTAATATCTCATGAGACAAGACAAATGCCTGCCTATTAGGGGCCTGGCACAATTCTAATATCACCCAGGAGATTGCAGACAGTCATTCCCCAGGGACCAACCCAAAATATCTGGCTGTAGAGATCTTAAAGAAATTAAGTGCAATCAATATATCTAAAAATTTACCTGCCTTGTTACTTCATGCATTTTCTTGGGCAGTGTTATTCACCATATTATGTTTCATTATTCCCTGCATTGTCACCTTAATTAAATCAAGGATCAGAGAGTTAGCAGCATATATTCATCACCTCAAACTGCTTGCAAATTCGAAAAGAGAGGAGTTTGTAGAGGGCCAGCTTTAAGTGTCCTCCTGGGTTTAAGATCCAGGACAAAGCTTGACCTTTGCCCAGGCTTAACCCACAGGGCTCAAGGCAGGGTTCTCCAAATCTCCCCCTGCAAGGGACGTTCTGGAAACATTCCATCTCATTCTCTGAATCCTAGATTTACTTATCACCCTCCTATGCAGGTGACGCCTAGGCGCCAGGGAAAAGTCTTGGAGTTTTACATCCCAATCTAGGAACTCTGATTACAAGAAAATAGGTATTGTCACTTATCAGCAGATGTTCGGGAAGTGTCTCATGGGGATGACTCTTTGTAGGTAGGCTAGATTTCCTCTATATAACCTGTACCCTCAGATGAATAAACTGAGTCAGTCCTTACTGCTCTGCCTGGCCCACATCTCTAAATTATTTCACGCCTTCCCGTTTGGTGTGCTATTTGATTGCTGGCAACACTGTCCTACCTCACTTTCTTCTTAAAAAAATAGTACAGATGAGGTTTACCTATTATGATGTTAAACAATTTACAAGTAATCCAATCTGTTTCTGCCCCTCTTCTAATTCTGTCAACCAGTTTTTACTCTTTCTTTCCTTTAAGTCTATCCAAATATTGAAGTTATGAATATTTCCTTGCCTCTCCTGACTCCTCTCTTAAACCCTATTCTACTCTCCCTGGCCCTCTTTATTTACTTGTTGAGCTTAATGCATTTCAACACACACCCTTTATATATGTCAATGAGTATGTCCAACTTTGATTTGTCCATTTCAGGGTCACTCATCCTGTATTCCAGGTAAGAATATTCTTTATGATGTTTTCCTCACCAATGTAGTCCGTATGCCATATAGGTTAACCTTGGTTAAAGGGTTTTATAATCTTCCAACAACCTCTCTTCAACTGTGAATTGGCAGCTGTACTATTTCATTGAAAATCTCATCATGGATCTCTAGCCAGATGACTCTTAAATCCACTTTTCTGGCCCCAAGCTTCCTGCTGACCTCCAATTTCCCACTTCCAACTGCCTTTCAGATACCTCAAACTGGATGTCCCAAGGACAACTTAAACATACCCAAAACTGAACTCATGATCTTTCCTTCTGAAACCCTCCTCTCCTCCTACCTTCCCTCTTACTGAGGACAGCAACATCAACCTCCCAGGCTTATAACCTGGAAACTGTCCTAGATTTCTCACTGTCTCCCATATCTAGCCCTAGGGCCTGTCAATGCTCACTTCTCTCTTCTGACACTGCCACTCACTCAATAACTGCTGAGAAGTCCACCTGCTCAAGTCTCTCCTCACTCCAGCCTATCCTCCATTGAGCCATGAAGTGATTTTTGTAAAGTGTAAGTCCAATCATGTCATTCATACCCTCCTTACTCAATAAACTTCAGCAATGCCTTATTGTCCCCAGGATCAAATACAAAATGCTCTGTTTGGCATTCAAAGTCAAGACATTTGTAATCTAGCCCCCTTCTATCATTCCAGTCTCCTTATACCTTAATTCCCACACTGGTCTCCTGGCTATTCCACCTCTCAGCTCCAGGCATTTTCTCTAGCTGTCCTTCATGCCTGGAGCACTATCACTGTCAATGACTCCTGAACTCCCTGACTTCCTTTAAGACTCAATGAAAATCCACCTTTTACAGTAAGTTTTCTTCCCAACTCTTAATTCCAGTGCCTTCCCATTTCTATTATCTACTATTTTTCATATATATATATATATATATATATATATATATATATATATATATATATGTGTATATATTTGTTTGCTTCTTGATTCATAAGCTCCATGGAGAGAGGAACTATTATTTCTAGCTTTTTTTTTTTGTATCCCCAGTACTTAGTGCCTCACAAATAATAGGTGCTTAATAAATGTTTCTTGGTCAAAAAAAAAAATATCCAAAAATTTTTTAAATCAATAAAAAATTGTCTCCTAAAATTGTTAAAAAGTGATAAAGTCAATACAAACTTATTTTTAAAACCATCTTCTTAAACAATTAGATTACATCAAATTAAATCAGTGGTTCAAAAATCCTTATAGTGAATAATCTGAAGCACTAAGTTTCTTTTCTTTTCTTTTTTTAAACTATACCAACAAAGACAACTATACAGCAATTACCGAACTTAGAGGGAAAAAAACCTGGTACATTTATTATTATAAGAATTAAATTTTGTAGAGACACACTCATTGAGTTTCATTTTATCAGACTATCCTCTAAATTTGCAATTTCTAAATTAGAAAACATGAACTCTTAAGTATACAATTATACAGAAATGTCAATTAAGCCCAAATAAAAAATCCATATGAATATAATAAATTACAATAATTATTATAATAATTTCTTAACACCTAACTGAAAAAATATGGGTAAAGGAACCTAAAAATTATTAAAATACCTTGTCTTTGACTGTTCATCATCTTCATGTTCAGTAATGTTTTCAGTAACTTTCAGTCCTGAATCATCCATGCTCACTTGATAAATGAATAAAAAAGATTTAAAAAATAAGCTGTACTCTGTCATTTTTCATACTATGGCAAAAATTATACAAAAGTGTACTTAATATTTTAATAATTACTTAGCAGATGGACATCTGACCATATCAAGTCTGACAACATCACTCCACTACTCAGTAAATTCTGGTGACTGAAATTAAATATAAACTTTTATGCCTAACTTTTAAAGCCTCATTCAATCCTGCCCCAATCTATCTTTCCAAATTTGTTAAATATTAATTCAGTCTTCATACTGTGATAGAGCCAAACTGATCTTCTCTCTGTTCCTCAAACATCATACTCAATCTGATTTTACATAGACTTTATCATTCCCTTTGCAATACACTTTTCCACCTCTGCTTCAAAGAATACATCCCTTTAAGATCGAATTAAAGTATTTTATGACCTTCTTCCAGGTTATATCCCAAATGCGAGCAGAGTTCTCTACACTGTATATATATATATATATATATATATATTTGTGAATCTTGTTTTCTATTAATATTAATTACAGGGATCAGTAACTACATTTCCTGACTTTTTGCACTTGAGTCCCCGAGCATAGTCTACAATTCATGTATGTGGGCCTACAAATATTTCCCAAACCTTGCACTCCAAATCTTTTGCTAAGAATATAAAGTTCTGCCCTGTCAACTTAGTTTGCTTAGTTATCGTTTGCCAAAATTCAAAATTTACTTTCTACAAAAAGCCTTTTCCAAATCATTTCCCTTCCCCCTAAATGCTAATGTCCTTTTTGGTATTATCCTCCATCCACTCTGAATGTATCTCATATGTGTAGTTATTCATATGCTGTTTTCAAAAAGGAAATGAAGCAATCACTTTTGAAGATGATATGGTCTACGTAGAAAACTAAAGATTCAGCTAAAAATTAATCGAAACAACTAACAACTTCAAGACAGTAGCAAGATCTACACAAAGTCCACACAAACTATCATGCTCTTCTGTTTTGAGTGTGAAAATCCAAAATGTAATTATTTCCTAAAGTTCTATTAATTGATTTTTACATCATGATGGGTTTAAACTAAAAAAGAAAGAATGATATTCAATGAATGCTTTTAGAAAACCCTTATACAGTTCTGGAAACATGGTGGAATAGGCCAGAAAATTCTAGGCTCTCCAAATTTCTTCCACAAAAAAAGAGAGCAAAAGTGAACACAGAGTGGTAAAAACAACAAAAATCTAGGTAAAGTAGTTGTCCTCCTAACACAACTTGAGAGGACCTCAGGAAAGATCCAACCTACAGGCCAGATTTCACTAAATCAAGAAACAAGAAGCCCTGGCAGCTGAGTAGGAAGTAGCTGAAGAAACTTTCATTTCACAGACTGGAGTAGGGAAAGCTTTGAAGAACCCTCTCCTGTCCATGCCAAGCCCACCTCTGCTGACCAGACATGATCCCAGGCTGCAGCTGTGACCAAGAAGGAGCCAGGTGAGTGCAACAGCAGAGGGGTTGGGACCCTGCTGGCTGCGGGAATTGGCAGGAGAGTGGAGCCCCAAATGTTGGCTCCAGGGCAGAGAGAAGAGCAGCAAACAGAGTAAGAGCATTTGATGGAATGTTTGGTTGGGGTCTCTAGCCCTGGCATACAGGTGGAAAGGAGCCCCTGCTGTTGGACTCCCTAAAAAGTTTACGTAATAATAGTAAGAAGGACTTGAGCCCTGGGGCACCATTCCCCACACCTAAGGACTAGAACCTGATTACAATAATAAGCAGCTAAATTCTAACAAAAACAAAATAAAAATGAGTGGGCAAAGGGTTCTGAAAGTCAACTGCTCTGGGGACAAAGAAGATCTGAGTCGATATTCTGAGGAAAATAGTGAAGCTAAAAAAAGCCAGTCCTACTTAGAAAAAAAACCCCAACAAAAACATCAACTGGTCAAAAGTCCCAAAAGAATGGAAGAACTTGTTGGGGCAGCTAGGTGGGGCAGTGGATAGAGCACCAGCCCTGGAGTCAGGAGGACCCGAGTTCAAACCAGCCTCAGACCAAACACTTCACACTTACTAGCTGTGTGACCCTGGGCAAGTCACTTAACCCCAATTGCCCAATAAAATTAAATTAAATTAAATTAAATTAAATTAAGAATGGAAGAACTTAAAAAGGACTTCAAAAATCAAATAAGAGACGTTGAGGAAAAATTAAGGGGAAAAAAAACAAGATAATTATGAAAACAGAGTCATCCAAGTGGAAGAATAGATCCAAGAACTCAAAGAAGAAAATAACTCCTTGGAAACTAGAATTGGGCAAGGGGGAAGCAAATTATATGGCAACAACAAATAATAAAATAAAATCAAAAGAATGAAAAAATAAGTGAATGTGAAACATCTTACTAGGAAAACTACCCATCTGGAGTACAAATTGAGGAGAGACAATATAGAGTTGTTGGACTACCTGAAAGTTACGATTTCTAAAAAGTCTAGATATCATATTACAAGAAATCATTAAGGAAAACTGCTCCGAGCTTCTGGGACAAGAAGGTAAATTACAAATAGAAAAAGCTACCAATCATCACCTGAAAAAGTTCTCAAGATGAAAACTTGCATAATAGCATAGCCAATATTAAAAGCTCCCAGGTTGAGGAGACAATACTACAAGCAACATGAAAAATTTTATTTTAATACTGTAGAGATACAGTCAGGATTACACAAGACTTAGCAGCTTCTACATTAAAGGACTATTGGTCAGGGGCAGCTAGGCGGCACAGTGCACAGGCCTTGAAGTCAGGAGGACCAGAGTTCAAGTACAGCCTCAGACAAAACACTTGACACTTACTAGCTCTGTGACCCTGGACAAGTCACTTAACCCTAATTGCTTTAAAAAAAAAAAGAAAGAAAAAAAACAAAGAAAAGACTATTGGTCTTCAACATTATTTTTCAGAATGCAAAAGAGCTGGGGCCAGAACCAAACATAATTCAACAAGCAAAGATGATGATCCTAAACAAAAAAAAAGAAAAAAGACATTTAACAAACTAAAAAAACTTTCAGGTATATATGACAAAAAGTCCAGAACTCAATGGAATAGTCAACATATATGATCCAGAAGAAATATAAAGTGAACATTAAAGACTAACTGTAAGGGACTCAAACTGTTTACTTCTTACATGTGAAAATCTTATCAGTATTCTTAAGAAAGGTTGGGAGTGAGCTAATTATGCCAGAAAACAAAACTGGATAGGAAAAGGTAAAAAGGAGTAATGAAGTGTGAAAGGACAGGAGCAATAGGGGTGGAGGGCTGGTAGAACTGAGTTAAAGTTAACTTGGTGACTTTCACGTGACTTCATTTATGTATCATTTTTCATAAAAAGCATTCTATGACCTATGTTTTCTGTGAAGGTTAAAATCCTCATCTGTCTCTGCCTGTTCTGGGTGAGGACTGGATAAATGAATTGAATCAGAATTAATTTAAACTGAATGATTAAATTTTCAGTTCTAGAATAATTAACAGTTAATTGATAAATAATGTGAAGTTAAAAGACTTGAATAAAAATTCTGAGGAATCACTAAGATCAAATAGATATAGATATAGATATGTAATTTGGAAGGTTTTGAGAGTTCGATCTTCTGTGGTATTTAAAATGTTTAGTTTGTATGTATGTTTGTATGTATTAGTATGTATGTATTTGTATGGATAGCTTACCAATGTTATCAGTAACCCTTTAGCTTGTTGTGAACAGTGTTTATATTAAGTACAGAGTTCAGAGTATGATAGGAATGGTGTTGGTTATTTGCAATGTAAATTCTCTCTCAAGGTTCGATAATCTTGGGTTCCTATTTTGTTGCTTCCTTGAGAAAATTGTGAGATGTAGTTCATTTTGATCACTATAAAATATAGATAGATAGATAGATAGATAGATAGATAGATAGATAGATAGATAGATAGATAGATAGATAGATATAGATACAGATATATAGATATATTTGTTATCTCTCTGATTTAATTGAAAACTAAGTAAGCCTTGCGGACCCTCTCTGATTTAGGGATGAGAGTTAAACCTGGTTTTACTTTATAGATTTTTGTGTCATGCTATTTGTCCTTCATTCTCAAAGAAAAATATGTAATCATGAAGGTGATGCCATGGCTTGTGAGTGAATTGCATTAAACAAAGGAGGGCTTGCATAGTTACCAGCCTCACTTTTTCCTCTGGAGCCTTCAGATTTCATTAGTCAGACGTAGATTAGGATGACTGGAGATGGCCCAGAAAACCATGGGGGAACCTGGCCTTGTTAAGAAGAGGTCCATCCCAGCTGTCACTTTGACTTCGACTTTGCCCGTTCAGTGATTAAGGCTAATAAAAAATGGTACAAATAATGGCTTCTTTTTAAAAAATAGATCTGGAGGGGTGGAGCCAAGATGGCAGAGTGAAAGCAGCAACTTGCTTGAGCTCTCCCCCAAATCCCTCCAAATACCTATAAAAATGGCTCTAAACAAATTCTAAGGCAGCAGAACCCACAAAAAGACAGAGTAAAGCAAATTTCCAGCCCAAGACAACCTAGATGATTGATCAGAAAGGTCTATGGTGCCAGACTGAGAGAGGAGTGCAGTGTGGCGTGGGTGTGCAGGCCTCAGCGAACCTGGAGCAGGCCTCAGAGGACTGAATCATGGGCAGCTGTGGCTGTTTCCAGACTCCTCAATCCACTAATGCAAAAGACAATTTAGAAGGTCAGTGGGAAAAGTCTGTTTCTGCAGTGCTGAGACAGGAAGGCGGGGTCTCACCTCCATTCTCCAAGAGTGTGGCCCTGGGTGGGCAGCTGCTTCCCGAGCTTCTGGCCCACAGACTGAGGGAGAATCGAATGGCTGATCAGAGGGGGACTGCAGGGATCTCTCTGCTGGTGATGAGGCAGCAATCTCTTGCTTTGCCTGTGCTTGGATCTGGGTCACAGTTCTGGACGGGGGTCCTGGGGTGAGGAGAACTGCTGGCACGGTGCAGCTTGTAGTGGCTGTGGACAGGAAACCTTCCTCACTGT